AAAAAAATAAATCTGACTTGCACTTCCAACATTCAAAATAAGGCAGCAGATGGAGTTGCTAGGAGACAGAAGGCAAAGAACAAGAGTATGAATGTATTCCAGTGTTTCTACACAATAGCAGAGTATATGAAATGAGCCGGGGCTACAGATCTCACCATCAGCTATGACTGTTACAAGTGATGAAATGTAGTCTTTGTGCTAACCAGGTAAATGATAAATCTGAACAATTTTAATAAAAGGATCTATGAGAATTATATTATGTGATATTTAATGCTGCTCTGTAGGCAATCTTTGTAACCAAAAAATTACTGTATAATTTAGATGGGAAGGACCTCAGGAGGTCTAGTCCAACCTCCTGCTCAAATCATGACCATGCTCAGAGCTTTATCCAGTCATATCTTCCAAGAATGGAGATAGCATAACCTATCTGGACAACCTGCTCCACCTCCTGACTGCACTCAAAGGGAGGAAGAGTTTTCCCCATATCCTGTCCGAACCACTCTTCTATTAATTCGTGCCTGCTGTCTCCCAGCCTCGCACCTTACACTGCTGTGAAACACATGGCTTCATCTCCTTGCTGACATCCCTGCAGATATCAGGGACTGCTTTCAGGTCCCTCCAGAGCCATCTCTTCTTCAGGCTCCACAAGCCCCAGTCCCACAGCCTCTCTTCATGGGACAAGGGGTTTAGCCATGACCACCCTGGTGGTCCCTTCTGAACCTATCCCAGTTTATTGATGCTTCCTGTACTGAAGGCCTAAAACTGGACACAACATTATTTGTGTGGCTGGCTGTTCTCCTGTTAATACAGTTCTGGATGATGTTAGCCATCTTTGGCATTTTTTGCCAAGGTATACTGCTGGCTTATGCATCTCTAATTTTGAACCCCACCAATACAGAAGGTCATCAATAGCTTGCTGCCACTCCAGGGCTTTTACTTTTTATTACAGTTGGTTAAACAACATAAGAGACAGAAGATGATGTAAGGTGGAAAGAATAATAGGGTTGTGTGCAGTAATGGTGAAATGTGAAGTGAAAGTAAAGCCTGGCTGGGCAGCTGTCTTGGGAAAGATGAAATGGATGAGGAATGAAAAAGTTTCAGTGGACTTTGATTATAGCACACTTAAAAAATAAAAAAGATTTAGTAACAAAATGATTTTCTTGTAGGAAAATCTCAGGTAATTTGGCCACCACGAGGTAAGAAACTGTCATGGATGGGCTTTGTAAAATAGATTAGAAGTTTAGAATATAAATATTAAAAGTTTAGAATATAAATAGTAGAATATTCATTGAATGCCTAAGTTCCTCATCTCCTTCTTTATGTTGATTCTAATGAGTGAAAAAAATGAGAAAAATTGTATCCAGTTATAGCAAAATACTTACATTTAATAATATAAGAAGAAAAGAGTTTATAAATTATAGTATTACAAGGTCATCAAATTTTGAGACAGATGTCTGTAAAAAAAAGAAATGTCATGAGCAGTATGTAAGTCACAAACTTAACTGGTTCTATGAGTAGAGAAAAATTGCCAAGTAAAAAAAAAAGCAATTCCTCTGGTAAACAACAAAATGCATGTGGTTGTGTCATGATTTAACTCCAGCCAGCAACTAAGCACCACTAAGCACATTTTCTCCCCCCCCCCAAGTAGTGGGATGGGGGAGACAATAGGAAAACTCAAATTCATGGATTGAGATAATGACAGTTTAATGGAACAAAAGAAGAAGAAAATAAGAATAATGATAAAAGAATTAGAATACACAAGACAAATGAGGCACAGTAGTCTTGCTCACCGATTTGCTGACTGACGCCCATACAATGACCGATGCTCTGGACTGATGTTCCAGAGTGGTGAGAACTGATCAGGTTTTCCCCTAGTTTCCATATTGAGTATGATGCCACATGCTTTTGGATATCCCTTGGGTCAGTTTGGGGTCAGCTGTCCTGGCTTGCTTGGCTCCCAACTTATTGTCCCTGTCCAGCCTCCTTGCTGGCAGGAAATTATGAAAAGCTGAAAAGTCCTGGACTTAGTAAAAACACTACTCAGCAACAACTAAAACACCAGTGTGTCATCAACTTCATTTTCATACTAAATCCAAAACACGACACTATATCAGCTATTAGGAAGAAAATTAACTCTATCCCAGCCAAAACCAGGACAGCTGTGAATAGTTCTTCATTAAACCTGAGATCTGGGACTACAATGTAAAATGGCAAGGATTATGAAAAAAGTTGAGAGGAAGTTGCTCAGAGTTTTGAGATAGAGGCAAAGACTACCTCAAAGCTTCCAGATGTACCACCCAAATTTACAAATATTGTAAAAGCAAGAAGGACTTATAAATATGAGTTAAATTAAAAGGTCAAAAGAATAAGCTACCTCATTAACAAAATAGAAAAGATTACTTTTTGGTAAAAAAATAAAGATTTTTATAATAACTTCAATTAATTCTGGTTTAACTTCCATTACTAATAGAATTAGTATACAGAAAAAATTATACAGATAAAAGAAAATAAAATTATTGTAACAGGGATTTTACATCACACTAATGATTCAAAAAAAAGTTTGCTGGAACAAAACACTGGGTGGAAGGAATAAAGTGGCATAGTTCTTATGTGGATTTTAGTAAACTACTGGATAGTTATCCATTATTATTTTAAATATTTATTCCAAAAGCAATTTGCAATAAATTCTGTCACTTAAGTTAAAAAATATATCAAAAAACTATGAGGACTGCCAGTTTTGAGCTATGTATTGAATGTAGATGTCTACTAGTCTTCTGTAGAGTTCAGTATTATCATCTAATTGTAGTTGTTAATAATCTAAAAAAAATCCCCAACCTTTGAACAATGTGTTTATGTTCTTATGCAATAGGGTGTTGCAGGTAATCACAGAGTTGACATAAAGAAAAGCAAAAAAAAAACCCAGTTGAAAATAAGAACAGATAAAAATAACAAAACTGTTGTCAGATCTTTGAAAATGCAGGTAAGAAGGCATTTGGGCAGAAACACAAGAAGCGCAGAAAATAGAAACAGGCATTGGGGTGAAAGTGGGCAATGAGTCAGGGAGGAGTCACCAAACAAGAAAAAGTTGGCTGTGCAGTGCGGGAATCTGTACACAGCATGAAGCCCTGGAGCAATGCTGGTTAACCAAACCTGATCTGCAGCATTCAGCACAGGCCCTGTCAGTGATTGAAATAAAAACAGACACCCCCCACACATCCAAAAATAAAAAAAAAGGCAAGTAAGCAAAGTAGGTAGGGCATTCAGTGCATGACTGGCTGATACTAGTTCTCAAGCTAAGACTTAGAAGGACATGAGCTTCAAATAAGCTTCAGTAGCTGGCATTGCCAGACTTCTCCCAGTTGCAACTTCTCTGGTGCTGGCTTGCACACAACCTCTGTAAGGATCTAGTGGCGAAAGGATGACTGTGTCTGTGCTGGTCACACCACCTGCTCTAGGGTTGGATTCCCAGTTCTCCAACCAGCGAATTGTGTTCTACAACTTGCTGTGCTCCCCCTTGAGCAGCCCGGCCGTATCTGTAGCACTTGGATATCACAGATGAAGCAACTGTCCCTTGCAGTCCCTTACTCAGAGGCAAGTCAAACACTGGTGTATTTGTGTGATGCCAAGGGTGTGTTTGCATAAGGAGTTATGTATTATGACAGCTCACTGCCTGGTAGGAAGGGGTTCGAAGGCTGGGCCAGGTGGAGGTGATGAGAGCTGGCTTGCTTCCACCCATAATGCTTATTGGAGCAGGTCCTGAGATGGTTTTATCATTGAGTCAGTTCCAGGTTTAGCTGGATGGATACCAAGTTTTTCCATGAAGGATCCAGCATGTGCACACGGGCAATAGGAGCAGGCTCAACTGACAGCTCAAATCTACCCAGAAATCATGTTTGCCATGTACTTTAACTCAGTCTTGCCACCTGGCAAGTGTTCAAAGTGAAAATAGGCACATTTCATCTAGGAAAGCAAGTGTTCACTGTCTTCACTGCAGTCTGGAAAACTTTCTGCTAATTTTCAGGTCTCCTCATCCAAAGGACTATAAATATTTACCATGTTTTCCCATGTGCCTATAGAATTTAAATATGTAAACATCAAATTTGTAGAGAAACAAATTAATAAGATTCAGATCCATGACATGCTTATTTCATCATGGCTAGGCTTCGTGAACGAAGATTTAGGAAGGCTCTATCCACGTTTGTTACAAGCACGCTGGTGGCTAATGAGGCCAATACGAGACAGACATACCCAATTGCAACATGCTTATTTAATATCAGTATAAAAAAATAAATAACTATTAATGTTCCTCATCTTATTTTCCAGTGACATTATATCTGTTCTTTAAGAGGAAGAATTTTTAGGATGAAATTAGATAAGGAAAAACATGAACTGAGTGGTGAGAGCATTTTGCAGCGTCAGCACGCATTGTGGATGAAACAAGTTCCCTGAGTGCTCACCAGAAGGTTCACCATGTTAGATGTGAGGGGCTGAACAAGGCTCTGCAACTTCTTTGTGTCTTGGCTGGAGGAAATACAGGAGGGAGCACAAAGTAAAGGATGGACTAAAACTCCCTTTGTGCACGGCAGTTCAAGAATTCCTTGATGCTTTTGCAGCTGTGCCAAGGTCTCTACCTTGGCAACTGAGGTGGTGTAGGTTTTACATTACTTTCCTGAGGGTAGTAGTGATTCTCTGCACTGAATAAGCATTTAAGGCAGGACTGACTAGTACTTCATGATACAGCACCATCAAGCCAAATACAGTATCTGAATTGGCACAGCATATAGTCTATGAGTCTTTTTGTGCCTTGCTTCTTTCTGCAAAGCTTTTTTCTACTTGTGATGCACTACTAGGAGTAATTTCCTGAAGACAGCTTTTTCCTTCACACTCTTAATTTCAAAGGTTGAAAGGTTCCCTTTGCTTTTTTGTTTTTATCATTTCATCACATGCTCAAGCACTGAGAAACTAAGATTCAGATCACTACTCTGCTGAGGGAGAGGTCCAACCCGCCTTCTCCACATCCTAGATAATTCCTTTCACTACCAGGCTACTCTGGTTCTAGATGCTCCTTCCTCCTATTCCTTGAACTACCCTGCCAGTTGTTCATTTCTCTGCATGACTAATGCCCCCATGTTTAGGTTACCTTTTCAGAGAAGGAAGATGTGGATTTGAGTACCTCCATGAGGCTTGGGAGAAAAGGTGGAATATGTCTCAGGTCCTGGTGAGTACCCTAATATTTATATAATTTGACACAGAGTGGGTAACTCCATCATCATCTTTGCCTTTGGAGGTACCTAAAGAAAAGCTACAAAATTCAATTGCTATTTTTATGGAACCTCACTGCAGTCTTATTTTCAGATCAAGTACTTGATTGGTAACTTCATGGAGGTGAAGCAGATGAAAGGTATCAGGTGTGACACTTGGGATATGTATGGAAGGTCAATCCATATAAAGGACATTAAAACCAAACAAGAAAGTGATTGGTGAGTCTATGTGATTTGGGGGATAGGGAGCAGTCAAGCAGATTTGCTGTTGTAGTGTTGGATACAGAGCCACACATAATACTGCTTCTAACCCAGACCCTTTTATGTAGAAAGAAAACTGGTTAATTCTGAAGGATGTCTCTCTGTTCATCTTTCGCTTCACATAAACATCTCTGGTGTATCTGTGGTACTTGGCACATTGTAGTCTGCTGTCATTCCACAACTTGACTTCCTGTGGTGTGAAATCATTAGCTGACTTAGACTTGTAAGGATTAGCTCTGCTTAAAGGTGTAGTGGGAAGATGTCCCTGTAGAGCCGAGCTGAAAAGCAGTGCTGCTGCCAAGACAGCAGGTGCCACGTTAAGTGATTGGGACATAGACTTTTCTCTCCTCTGACCATCTTAAACTCACATTCAGGATATCTCTAATTGACTATTTCTTGTGACTCTTGCTGGAAACAAAATTTGCTTGGGGGCCCCTACATTCCTTAAATCTGCGTATTCTATATGATGTTGTTATGAGTTGTTATATGGGTGTGGCATTTTAATGAAGATGTGGTGAGGAGGCAATGGGTGAAAAAATTATTTCATAAGGCAGTAAGGAATGCTTTAAGATATTTTATCTTTCATTAGAATCTAGCGTGTTATTCATTAGTGAAAAGGCCACTGCAGAACAGGTTCATACAGGAAATGAAGAAACTTCGGCGAAAGCAGATGTCAGATAAAATCAGCATTCAATTTATCTCACTCTAAGTAAAAGGAAAATATGTACATCAGCTTGGGCTCAGGGACAAGCAAAATGTTTTCTGGTTTGGTGTTTAAATTAACACCTAACTGAAATGGCTGTTAATATGCTTTAGTGATTCAGTGTACCAAAACTAAATTTACCTTCTAATTAAATCAAATAGTCAAACTCTAGCATTTAATCTATCTTACTGAATTCCTAAAGAAGGGACAGTGTTTAATAACCTTTTGATTTAGCTGCGGTAAGAGTGATAAAGGAAAGGAATTGAAAACTAATGATTCTAAAAGAGTTTTTTTCTCCTTTACAAGTGCAATTGAAATAATCCTTATTTGTTTCAAAGTAAATTTGAAGGTAATGGAAGCAGATTTTTGACCTGGCCAATTGGATAATCTCAGAAAGGTGTAGTGATATAAAATTACCACTGCCTCCTCCTCCAAAAAAAAGCAATTATTAAAATTTGTAAACTTGACTGCTTGAGATTTGATTTGACTTCTTACTGCTGCTTCAGCAGCAGTGAACCTTTCCAGCAAATTCAAATTATTAAAGAGAGTTTATTTTTGCTACTGAACTTAATGTCAACTTTGTCTACAGTTAGTAAATCCATTTGAAAATATTATAAAGAATAGTGATTTAGTAGATGTGCATTTGCTCCTTTCCAATCTTGTTGATTAGCCTTTGATACATCACAATAGTTTGTCTAAAAAAATTGACGAATTTGAAGGAGTTTACTCAGTGTTTTGAATTTATTACAGAAGTCCATGACATGGAAAGCCTATCTTGGTTTGCCGTATTCCAATAGCTCCCAAAGCTGTTAAAAATAGTTGACCAAGATACAAAGGAACAAAAAAAATCTTGTCTTGAAAATATTGAATGCATCTGCAAACACTGGGGAATTAAAAAAAATCATTGGACTTTTAATGTCAAAAATGTGCTGGGAGGAGCCTATTTCCCCTCTCTCCTCCAAACAGCACATCCATTCACTCCACCTGCTTTCATTCCTACTCAAATCAACATTTGCCCTTACTGACTTCCAGGATATAAGCTGTTTCTTCACCTCTCTAGATCTCTTGGCCTTTCCACAAGAATTATTAATGTCAAGAATCATACTGACTTCATCCCATTCCTAGTAGTAAGCACCACAACTTGTCTCATCAACACATGAGATACTGTTGTTACGATCCACTCCGGAAAAAAAGGGGGGGGTAACCCAGGTTCTTATCAGTAATTCCCTCGGGGTGGATTAGAGTGAAACGACACTGAATAATCGGTGTCTGAAAACATATATAGATAGGGTTTATTTTAACAATTTTGTTTTAACAGGTATGTTAGCATTTTGGGTGTTGCCATCTATATTATCTATCATAGGGATAACCCCTGGGGGGAAAATGCATAAGGGAGAGAAAGGAAAGACAGGATAAGGCTAAGGGAGAGTAAGAGAAAGACAAGCTGAGAGTGGACAGATGTATATAGCCACCGCCCACGTAGTCCAGCGATGAAACTTGGTAGTTGCCGCTTCCATGTCTGTCAATTGAAGTGATGGCCTTAATCTGCTGGGGGTGAAGGAGGGAAGCCCCCACACTCCAAGAAGTTATGAGTTATTATATCCATGGTCAGTGTCACGGGCCATGCCTCGAGCCTCCAACCTCTCCTGGGCCTGCGCAGAGTTTCTCTGTCTGGCCTGGTTCCTACCTTTCAAGACTGGCAGAGGGGGGATGGGTTTTGATGGGCCATCAGAGGTATAATGCAAAAGTCCTGCAGAAGCCTGCAAAAGTCCCTTGGCAATCCTAGAATGCATAAATCATTAACCGTTTCAGTCTCTGACACCTCTACTTGCAAATTCAACAGTGCCAGGATCCATGTTTCAATCCTCTGGCCAGCTGGCACGGACTAGCCTTGCTCATGCTACTGAAGTCTCATAAACAAGCTTGCTACATTCCATATGTTGGGAAATAGTGCCTGGCTTTTTCTAACTCTGGATCTATGCTGAGGATTTGTTTGGGAACTTGCTAGCTGGTCAGGGCCGGAACCATACCAGGGGCACGCTGTCCACAGTAGAGAGCGCGAAATCACAGCGTCAGAGTCTGTCTCTCAGTTTGCCAATATAGACACAACCAGGTAGACTTCTTTTTAAGATCTTCCTGGATCTCCTCTTGAATCCACAGTCTCCTCTGGAGCTGGTGGGGCACCTACATGTGGGGAATCTTCATCTCTCCCCATCCAGCCTGGGCAGTGACAGTACAGATGTGGAGGGGACCCCTCAAAAAGCACTTCTTCAGTATCCTTGTCCCATCTGTGACAAAGGGAGAGAACTCTGGCTTTCGCAATACAGGGAAAGTATCACTTCTGCTTTTACAGACGGTGGCTTTATTATTTTCTGTCCTTTTTGGGAAATCAAAAATTTCTCAGGGATCAGAGTCTGAAAATTTTTATTTAGAAGGGAAAACAACACTGCAGAGACGTCAATTTTCAGAAGATCCATTTCAACTAACACCTTTGAAAATCTGGCAAAATCTTATGTGTTTAGAAGTAAAATATAGCATTTCCTTTATTTCAGAAAGGGTAGGTTAACAGCCTGGTATTTCCAACCCAATGCAAAGAGAAACTTAAGAGAGCTGAGGGGGCACTTTATTCAAGTCCCACACAAATCTGACTCTCCTTTGAGATTTATTTCTGTAAAGTGACAGCCACAAGCTCCAAATCATGAAACTGAAGTGTTAAAAAAAAAAAAATAATTCCCGTATTACAGAATAGCTTGCAGAATATTAAGCTTTCAAGTTTTCTATTTCTAATTTTATCACAGTCTTTTTTTTTCTAAAGTTTTTGTCACACAGCAAGAAGGGCATGGTTACCACAACCTTGCATCTTGTGATGAGATATGTAAGTCAGCTGAGTCCTAGTACAAAAAAAAAAATTCTAGTTTATCCCAAACACTTTTTTTAATTGTAGTTCATTGAATTTACAATGGGCCTGTCAGATTTGAGGCAAGAGAATAAAAAGGTTTTCAGAGATGCTGTTGGCTCCAACTGTGACTCCTTTTTTATTGAAATAGGTTTTAGTTCTGTGTATTTGCTACAGAATGTTTTCCTCAGTGTTGTTTTTATACTGAACTGAGACTTGGCAATGTTTTCCATTGGAATGCAACACTGTCATGTAAGGTCAAAGGGAAAATGCTAGTCAGTGTTTCCCAGTGGTTGTACACACATAACATTATGTCCTTTAATTGAGCTCAGCTTTTATTCCTGAGAAATAACTGTTATTTTAGCTTGAATCACGGAAGATATATCAGGCATAAATGTATGCAGCTTTTTATGTCTTACGTTCAACAGTTGAAGAAAAACACCTTGTCATAAAATATTATCAATTCTAACTTTCTAGAACCAATTTTTCTTCCTTCCTGCCTTCCTTCCTGCGTTCCTCCTTCCTTCCCGCCCCTCTTCTTTTCTGCCTTACTCTCCCCCTTCCTTCCTTCCTTCCTTCATTCCTTCGTTCCTTCCTTCCTTCCTTCCTTCCATCCTCCCTTCCTTCTTTCCTTCCTCTCTCCCTCCCTCTGTCCCCCTGTCCTCTTATATTGGATTTTTTCAGGGAATGGGCAGAGGTGGAGGGGTGTAATAGAAAGGCCTAGACCTTGGACCACATTTATTCTAAGCTTTGGCAGTGATTGCTTTTCTAACTGGTTCAAGTAAAGTCCTCTCATATCTTTTGTTTCTAAAATTTTGATAAAAAATTTTTACCTTTCTCTGTAAACTCTTTGAAGAGTATCTGTATACAAATCTATTATTATCTCTGCTAGAATCCTTCCAAGTAGTGTTTAGAAGCTTATAGAGAATGAGAGGATAGGAATAATTCATTCTTTGATTTATTTTGAATCTCAGCTTCTTGAATGACAGAAATGCAATGCCCATTACCTTGAAGCTGGACACATCTGCAATTCTGTTAAGTAACAGAGTACTGCTTGCACAAGCTGTAATTTAAAGGTTGAAAAATCTTGCATCATCCTTGAAATATAAAACCATAGATGCTCAGTTTCCCAACAGTGTGTTTTACAAAGCTCCAGGCCAACTCCTTAAGTAAGCCCTTACACAGTCCTGTTTAGTCCTTTTGAAGGGAAATTATCTAATTCAATGTATCTCTTTTATTTCAATATGAATTTGTCAATACAAATAGAGATAAATTAAAAACTAAGAATGCATCTCTCTTGTTATGTTTGATTACTGAATCAGTGGAAAATGAATCTTCTTCAAGACAAAGTAATTTCCCTTTCACATGTCTTACCTAGTGCTATATTACCACAGGTCTCTAGCCTCTATAGCCTGTGGCTTTATACCAGAGGTGAGATGCTATAGGACTCTAACCCTCTGCAATAATTGTGAGGGTTTTAATTCTTTCTGAAATGTCATTTAAATCCTATTAGAGAGAGAGGTCCAGCTACAAAATTGAGTCACACATCTCAATTCTTGATAAATGATCTTGATGTGATTACACTTGGAATTCAATCTCTTAAGCAATTTTTGTTGCAAGTGAAATAAATTTGCTGTAGCAATTTCATTAACCACAAATAAAGGAGTGTTGATTATTGTTTTCATTATGTTACAGTACTATGTTTATACCAAGAAAACTCACAAGTGAGTTTCCAGAAGTGCAACGGACTTGAGATGAGCAGATGCTGTCTAGTAAGTAGCCCTGTATACACATTAGCTCTGGTCCTAGAAACAATAGATCTGTGTTAGCATGGCAATGGCCCAGGGTAATTATTTCTACCCCTGAGGAAGGGCTACTTCCCATAAGTGTAGTGTTACTTGACACTGTTATATAGCATTTAGTCTAAATCAAGCTGAAATATCTTTACAAAGTGAAGAATTTCAGATACATGCATACATAGATACATGCAGCAGATAGAAGTAATTGCTCACCACCAAAAGTGTATTTACACTACAATATTGGTTAACCTTGTGTTTTTCCTAGGTTCCAGCTCCTTGTATTGCAGACACACTATTTCAGTCTGATGTGGAGCAGAGTGGTTCCTTCAGGGGGCTGGGGGATACAACTGAGAAGTAGTTTGCACTACAGTCCACGTTATATAGAATGGACATAGACCTGTCTATATGTCATCCCTGCAAGATAGGAGTCTTCGTTCTTTGATGGGGGTAAGGAAGACAGATAAACGATGTCACCTAGCTTTATAAAATAGCTGTAGTTTGTTTGAAAAATTCGTGGATCAAGCATTAATTTTTCCAGGACTTGGCCATTTTAATTTTCCTTCCTCTGCCCAAAATAAAAATAAAAGAAATTTTTTATTTAGGTACCAAAGCAAGGTGGGTTGTTATAAATACTTTATTGAACAAATTGCAGATGGAATGTAAATTACTTTCATTCATTTGGATGGCAAAGGCTCGGGCTGTGCCTTCTGAAATGTAGCTTACAACTAAATCAGCCTCTCCTTTGCTACATTTTGCAGTGAAGTCATAATTGTGTGTTTGACATTAGTCTGTTGCCATGGATAGTAGAAATCAGGGTAGGATATGATGACATTAAAAGGTCACTTCAATCTCTAATAGCTATGGTTCTGGGAATGACTAATGGCATTGTGCTGCTACAAATGTAGAACTGGAACAACATGATGGACTGTAACTGACTTGTATAAGTATGAATACCTCTGAGATTTAGAAGAAAGCATGACAGGACCGTATTAAATAGTGAATGGGTTTATTTTTCATTTTGTTTCTTTTTGAGAGAGATTGTATGCATGGACATTGGAGGGGATCATTTCACCTGTACAAAAATGTTACAGCAGAGTAGATGTATCAATAAATGTTATTTCTAGTATAAATTTATAATTGTATTTAAACAATCAGCCCTAGATAATAGCTTACAGGGGAATTACTTGAACTAATAAACATTACTATTTTGGCATTTTAGAAACATTTCAAGACCATTTTTAAGATGTAACTCTTCTTGTCTGATCATAGGAAATAAGGGAAAATGTTTGTTTTCAGAAGGGCACATTTGAAGTGTCTAACTGAAACCATGGAGCTCCTGCTTGATTTGGGACAGTTGGGTTTGATCTGGCAGAAGATTATGACCAAGTCATTCTGAACTGTTAACACAGCCCTGGTGGTTATGTCTCAAATATTTTAGGGAATGTGAAGGAGATGGAGCACAGATCTCTACTACAGCAAAAACTGTTAAAACAAAAAAGAAACACAGATTATGTCAATTGTGAAGACTGTTTTGTAGAATTTCTGTAATGCTCTAATATAAAATTTTTATTTACTCATGCAGTTCATGAGGAAAATTTAAAAAAATAATAAAATATAAAGCCTTTTCACGATCTCTCTCCTTTTTATATTTTCTTCCACTTCTCTTTTCCTTCCTTCCTTTGTTCCTTCCTTCCTTTCTGCCTGCCTTCCTGCTTACCTTCCTGCCTGCCTTCCTCCCTCTCTGTGTCCCTTCTTCTCTTCTTTCCTTTCTCCCCTGAATTTTAGAAGTGAATGCATTCTATACTCAGTCCTTCTATTAAGCTATTTGTTTTAGCACTTAGTTGTAACCATTTTCTAGTTGTGGTATGTTTATTAATTAACCAGTGTAGACACATATGTGTTGCTCTGTGTTTCAATTTTACATGTAGAGAAGTTCATTGCACATTTTGCATTCTTGAGAATTGTTTGTAGGTGGTTTCCTTTGTTCGCAAATCCAAACAATCTACACCAAGCTGCCATTCACTGCTGCTGTGAAATGGTGGTGTCTCCATCTCCTTGAAACAATACTTACAGCTTCATGATAGGCCTAAACAGCTCTTTGCTTTAGTGCCACTTGCCAGTTATGTGATTTCTCATTCACAGTTCTCACGACTTGTACTCCAGAGGAAAATTTCCTTCTGTCTCTCAACCACTGTTTTCCAGGAATATCATAAGAAGACACAGTGTCCAGAGAAGAGTAGAACTTAGACTAAAACCTGGATAACTCACAGTGCTCTTCTCACTGTCAATAAAGACCCTGCTTTCAGCAACTGACTCATCCCATACCAATGTACTTCATTTAGGAAACACAAGAAGCTCAAGTATCCTCCAAGCTTTTCCTGGTGCTGAAGTAATCCAGTGCTGATCATGATGCCAGAGTGTGCTGCCCAGCATGTGCTGACTACAATACCATTGGCCATTTAACCTAACACATAACCCTTGGCTACATCTACACTGCTAATAGAAGAGGGCAGGGGCCAATTCCTGACCCTATGGTCACAGACTGGCTTATGTCCCTGCTACCTGTGGCTTTTCATGTGTCTATTAAATTTGCCTGGGAGACAGTTAGTTGGTGTGGTCCACAATGCATTCACGTAGAGAAGAAAAATTAAGTAACATGGGTGGTCGAGCATCCCAAGCTGACCCTACAGCCTCTCCCTTTCTATTTAGCAGTGAGAAACTACCTTTTGAAACTAATTCAGTGCTTGGTCTTAAAATGGTAAGAAAATCAATAATAAATAAATAAATGAAATGCAAATCAACACCGATAAAAAGCCCTCCCAAAATGCTATCTAGATGTGCTGGCCAGCACATACCACTGTAAGGCTGCCTTTTGAAAACATTTTGGCAGCAAAGGGAGACTTTTCAATGTGGTAACAGCCCTATTTGGATTTTCTTCCAGAAGGCTGGAAAGAGGGCAACGTTGCCTTTATTTTCCCAGTTCTGCAACCAGTGGGAGCCCTTCAGTCCCTTTTTCACCTCCCCTGACAATAGCAAGTAATGTGACACCTGCTATTGGCACTGCCTCCTAAGTAGAAGTTTTGGTATGCCATGGTGTATGCCTGTCCACAGCTTCTGCTCTATAAAGTAGTGAAATACTTATGTTTCTAAAGGAGAATTCCAAGATGCTTGAGAATGTCCCTTGCAAATAGTAAATAATCATCATGAATTTGCATTTTGTTTTTAAAGCTTCCAATGGAGGTTTACCATCATCAGCTCCACTAAAAAGTGGGAGTAGGGCATCTCACAGTTAGGGGTCTTGCCCAGGTGACAATAAAAGATCGGAGTAGTAATCCTTTGCATTAATCACACATCTCCCCTCCTGATGATGAGTATGTGGCCATTTGCAGAGGCACTTTACCCGCAGCAGGAGGAAGCAAAGGAAAAGTAAATCCTTTCTCTAGTCTCAAGGGCAAAGATAATTTTTTCTTCAATAATAAATTTTCTTCTAAGGGTGCACAACTACACCATTGGAGTATCTGTCTTGTGTCTTGGCACACACTAGAGATGATCAAAGCAGCAGCTTTTGTTTAAAGCAATAGAAAAGCAGGGTTTTGGAACATCCAGGGTTGGATATAACACCACAAAGCAAGGAAGAATCACAAGAGCCAAACTATTTAAATTTTTTTTTTAGCAGTTTGCCAGTGTGCAAAATAACAAGGTAGATCAAGTGACACAATTCTGAAATTGTTTAGTCAACAGACATTCTTTCCCTTTTTGTTCTCCCACAGATTCCTTGAATAGATTTTGGACATGTAGATTTTTTTCAGTCCAGATAATCAGTCCAGTCATCAAAATAATGTTGCTATATTCCATGACAGTGAGAAACAGCATTTTTTTACCAGTATTTTTCTTTGTGAGACGAATACAAACTCTGCTATTAAAAGACAATGAATAAACCTAGGCACCCTGTTAATAAGAAAAAATTCTCAAAATGAAGCAGATTTTATTCATACTAGTTCTACTTTTATATAAACATAACATTGAATCAAGCAAAACATTGTCATAGTATTTCTATAAGTGATTCATTAATTTCATACCATCAAACAGTATAAAGAAGGCAAACATTCTCAGTACACAAATAATAATTGAAATACATATTTTTAGGCACCTTGTTCTTTTCAGGAACTTGAGCTCTAAAGTATTGCTTGTGAGTAATTATCAGTATCAGTAATCTGATTTACATGATTTATTAATGCCTTGCTAAAAAGCTCTGATGTAACTGTGCGGCTCAATTTTCTTTTTTCTATAGGGAGAAGAAAATCTCAAGCTCTGTCATAATCAGCTGGCTTATCTCCAATAATTCCAAACTAATTTAAGCAGCCAAGAACTGGGTGTTAACTTCTCTTATATGTCAGGAGAATAGGTAAGAAAATAAAACAAAACTAATCAGTCAAACTGTAGCAGATCTTTACTCTGTAGCAGTGGGAGGAGAGAGTGAGATCAGCGGTTCTGCAAAGGTGAAGTGACCAGCTGACTTCTTTGTCTGCTAGCCTGCATGTTCTCCACTAGCAAAGCAAGAGGCAAGACATTTCTACCTGCTACTTTGTGAATAAGGGGCTTTCCCATGCAGTCACTCTGCTCAATGAAGCTGTGTCCTGGTGACAGTCCTCCCGAAGACAGTTTATGCCTCCATAATTTCATTTCTTCTTGCATCACACCTGTGGAAAGAAACAACTTAGTTAATGACAAGAGTGATGCATAGCTTTAATTCTCATTGTTATGAATATGAGCAAGGTCCCATGAGAACACTGGAAGTAATTACATTATATTTTCTTCTGCCTTAGCTACTGGGGCTGGCTTTGTTCATAGCAGATTTTACAAGAATTTCTTGCCATCTTTAAGCCTGGCATTTGACAATTCTGCCTTGAAATAGTTTAGGATGTGTCATTTCAATGCTGAAGAACAGACAAAGGCATTTGTTGCTGAGCTACCTTCCATGAAAGAAACAATTCCTGAGCTACCTTCCATGAAAGAAACAATTCCCACCTCCTGGGAGTTTTCAATTTTTTCTGTTAGTATTAAAGTATCACATGTCCACACTGCATTGTAATGGATTACTTGGTTTTGTAATTTCTTTATTTAAGAACAAAAGCAGTCTATTTCAATTTATATATAATATGTATTTCTATAATTTGAGTTTAGTCTTTTAGAGTCATAGAAGGCAGAGTACAGTAGGTTAACACAAAACACTATGAACTGAATTCTGAAAATACAAGTCACATGCTTCTATATATTGTGTGTAGGAAGACAAGATTTCCTTTTCCATGTGCCAAATAGGCTTCTATTTAAAACATAGTAATGCAAAAATGTGTTATTAGTCAAAATCCAGCTAGTTTTTAGATTGTTAATCTAAAACCAATCTAAATTAATTAATCTAAATAAAACAATGAAAGAGAAGTTGTGCCTACTTGTAACTGAAAATCTGTTGTGATTTCCTCAGTACTTTGAGGAAACACCAGTCAATAAGAGTTGTTCAATAGTTCCTTTCATTCCAACCGAAAAAGAAAGCATTTCTAAGTATCTCCAGTTAGAAACTGCAGAGGGGGGCTTAATACACAGTAGTTACTCTGAACCAAGATTAAAATGTTGCTTGATAGCTCCTGGCTTTTTTAGTAGCAATTATTCTGAGTGCATGATAATACTTTTTAGTGACTGCAAGTGCTTTAAGCTCTCGACTCCTTGATATGTTCTTGAACTTCTGCCATTTTGCAAGGGGCACTGACTCAAAGGTTTTGATGGGGTGATGGAGGACTGACATTATAAAATTAACATGTCCTGAATTACTATCCAAGAATTACAGACTTGCAGACAGTGTATGTTTTTAGAGTTACACTCGTCACTGACACTAAATACAGTTTTGTCTTATTAAAATGCTGTTAGAACTGCTGCTTAATGATTCGCTATGATTTTATGATCAAGTATGCTAAAAATTCTAAGAAATTTTTAGTTATGGACTAATTCAATAGGAAAGGATTGTGTCAACCTAATATATTAATGCATAAGTGGTATTTTCAGTACTGTCCATGGATTATTGTCTCACACTGCTCTATTTGATTGTATAATATAATTGTAGTTTATGCTATCCAAGACTCACAATAAAGTCATTAAGTCCATCAGTCTATTTAAATAACTTAAGACATATAAGATAAAATACTTTTGAACTTCTTGAAGTATCTTACAAGCAGCTCTGCATCTAAGGTGTTTACATTTTAATCAAGTACTGTCAAACTTTTTGACAACTAAGGGAGACACTACTCCTGTTTGCTCAAAGGCCCAATGGCAAATAAATTTTACAGTGTTAAAGGATGATGGAAAACAATCTGAGAACCATTTGAGCATTCTTCCATGCTCTGACAGTTTGATGGCCTAATTTGAGTAATGAACAAATTTTTAATTCCCTGTATACAGATTCTACAAATACTTGTGCAGCAGACTTAGCTTGGCTGCAAAGATCTAATTTTCTGTTATCTATTATCTAAATAATAAATCTATAGTACACTGTCTGATAATTTATGATATAAACCACTTTATTTGAAAAAAATAAAGCATTCTAATATAAACAAAATTAAGAGCAGTTCAATGGCCTTTACAGGATGTCTCTTTCATGACTGTGATTCTACTATATAATAGGGACAAAACCCCATAAATACATAAGTGAATAAGCAGGTGATATATGTAGGAGAAATCCTTACTTCATTGGAGTGAGTCTACTTATTTCTTTCTCTCTTCATTTCTCCTTGCATTTTCTTAACAAACATTTTGAAAATTGTTTTTATGTCTGTTTGTTCAGTTTATTGGAGATAGCAGGATTAGGCAGAGACCACAAAGAATATGGTTATATATATCTGTTTCTGCCTATGGCCAACTTATTTCTAAATATTTGGAACACAAATTCCTGATGTCCTCTGCTGCAAAAGCACAGTTTCAGTTTGTCTACTGAATATATTCCTTTAACATTTCATATATGCAGTTCCATTTTTACTGTGTCAATTAGTATCTTCAGTGAATGAATGCAGCATCCTGCTGGTCGCCTGCTTAAAATCCTGTCTGTCTGCAGAAGACATTCTACACTGCCAAGACTTGTGCAATACTAAACCCAGGAAAGCAATTACTATCCTCATGATGTGTAGGACGAAGACATGTTCTAAAGAACTGAGCTGAACGATTCTTGCTTTAAAACAGCCATTCACCTGGAAAAAAAATGAGTGTGTAAAGATTTCAGGTTACCGTATTAGCTGGAATGTAACTTGACCAAAACAAACTCAAATATAAAGGCAACCTGTCTGAGGAAACAGTGGAAACAGGAAGGGATATTTGTCATGAGGGGTTTCCTGGTAGAGAAGGTTGGCTCTAGATGGAGAGGATTCAAAGAAGAGGCTAGAACATCAAGATGGAGAGGAAGAAAATGGATTCTGTGGGACGTTTCCTCCAAAGCGGTCTGCAATATCTTGAGGCAATGTCATTATTCTGTTGAGATCAATGGGATTTTTCTCTTGGCTTCACAGCAGCCAGGATCTCACTCTTGATGCTTATCACTCATGCTTGACCTTGCAGGCAAGGAAGTCATTACAATTTAGAGTGCCTCAAAAAATAACCTGTGTCACATGCCTGTTGGGCTGAGTATGAACACAGTCTTTGTGTGTCAGAAAGGCAAATATATTTATTGCATCTAAAGATCATCAAAGTCAGATTTCTGTATCACATCAGTGCATTTACAGAGCAGGAGGAAACCTGGGCATGTCTGGATTTGTCCCACGTTGACTCACAACTATCCTCTTCAGAGCCAAAACCACTCCTAGTAACACTTTCAGTCGCCAACAGCAACTGCCAACCAGCAAAAGTAGGTAACAGCAAACTTTCAGTCTGCTTTAACCTGAAACTTGAATCTTGGTAGAAAAGGGATTTTAGCTGTTGGAAGTAGTAACTGGAGGTGCATTAGGCATCCTCTGTTCAGTGGTCAAATCATCAGAGGTTTTACAAGCAGTGGAAGTTTTTGCACCTGGAAAGCTCTCCCAGCCTACACTCTTCAGTGCCAAAATTGGTAAGTCCGTGTTATAGCAATATGCTTATCTGTGGAACTTGGAAATGGGGATTAATTTGAAATTTTAAAAAAGAAAAAAGAACATCTGTGTTTGCTTTTCAGTGTTTTCCATATAACCTCTGCTTAATTTACAAGTAGAATTTCTCCTATGCTCCTGCCATCTGTAATCTAGGCTCTGATTGTCCTGAAAAGTTCTTTTTTCCTTCTTATTTTAGCACTGTTGTTGGCATCAGGAGACTGTTCCGTCATGCAGCTAGGCTGTACTAAAAAGTCCCATGGATATAAAATGCAGTTCCTACATACTTAGTAGAGTTGGAATAATAGGACAAATTGAAGACATGCCAGTATCTTCTGACACATTCAAGTAGAGATATTACTGAATGTACACAAGAACCACTTAAAGATGTGTTTAACAATTGCTATATTTTATTTAGGAGTTCATACCTTTCAATTGTAAGCAAAGGATTGTTTTATTATACTGCAAGGAGATTTCTATGCTATTTAATGTGTCTCCTCTAAAAGATGGTTGTAAGGATAAGGATTAGGATGACCATCTTGTGAGGTCAGTCTCTTCTGAGGCTGGGTAGATCATGCTATATCCTTTCAAATGGATGGTCTTACACTAAGATTGATCATTTCTTGGAAGTAAGATGAGAAGGCCTGGATGTCCCATCCTGACCACGCATGCTTGGACCAGCACTGCTGTTGTGCATCTCACTTCTGCTTTGTGATTTCCAGTGTAATGCTACATCATTCCTCCTTATTTCTGTGGGCTTTCGCTGCAGTTTCATTCTGCATACAGATTTTCCTGGAGCCAAGTTTTTCACAAGCAACATAATATATAAAATATGGCTACCATCCAAAGCTAGATATCATTTCAATTCTCTTTCCTGAGATGGAAAAAAAAGAAAGAAATAGAGCTATAATAACGAGGCTCCTGGAACTGGGTTATACAGAGGAGTGAATGAAAGCTCTGATTTTCTTGTTGCATAAGTAGGTGAAAGGAAAGCATTAAATTTTTATTTTCTCTATTTTATTTGCTTAGAATCTATGACAATACAATGGCAACAGACAAAAGCAGCGCTAAATGTTCAACCTAAAGTTTTCACAACTGCAACAGCAATAGAGGAAAGGTTGCCAATTCAAATACTAATTTCCATTGAAATACTTGAACAACAATCAATAGAAATGTATCTGAGCACTCTCAGTACAGGTATCTGAAAATTTAAAGCAAGTCAGAGAGGGAAGAAAATGAAAAAATAAATATGAAGAACACTAAGGATAATATTTTCTCTTATTCTTGTGCGAAAGAAGTGAGAATGATAGAGATCCCCCAGTAAAATGAAGCAGATTAAGCTGCCATTTCTTCCTTCTGGGGTCTCAGTCATGTGTGTGGAAAAAAGCTCTTCCATTCGTTGTATTGAAGATTTGATAAGGGATCTTATTTTCATTGCTCTGTTTCCACCTAGTGCTCAAACTGCACATTGCACTAATTTGTACATATGTTCTAGAATCGATAACTGCAAATTGGTATTGGTCTCTGTTTGCAGGGAATTTGCATTATAAATAAGGAAGTTAAGATTAAATATCACTTTTATAAAAAGCACTAGCTCCCAGACTAAAGGCTGTCAAGTTTTTGTTGCATGATCTGTTCAGAAACAGGAGTATCAGTTATTTGATTTAACTCTTAGAATCCCTCTTGTGTATGTAACTTTTGTAGTAATTCCCTTGTTAACTGAAGACGAATGAATGCATGAGAATAAAAAGGACCACACCATGGTATTTGAGAGACATTCATTACTCTGACAGGCAAGCATGTGCTCAGGATGAAATCTAGAAAGGGATAGTTAAGCCACCTGGAAATTTTGAGGTGGACTCAACTGGATAGTCTTTCCCTATATATCTCAAGTTATACAGTACCTTTCAGATTTTATACAACAACATTTTAGTAACAGAACTAGAGAATTCAAAAACTCAATTATGCTGAAAGAAAAGAAAAGGACAGATTTTATGCTGGACTATGAAATTGGTAGTTTTTCAGGAGGTTGAGGAGAGCTAGAAGACACAACTGTGGATTTACCTTATGAAAGCATAAGCAGGAGGCTTATGAACAGATACACAGCATACACAGACAGGACAAGCGGTGTTTTACATTTCTTTCATGTTCTAAGACAAAATTTTTGTGTTATATATGTGTATAAAAAGTAAAACATACTAGTATTGCTAATCTCAAACAGTACTTCATACAACACAAGCATGGCACTAACTTCAACAGCTTTAA